TCGTATTTGTTTTCTGCACTGAGGTCTTTTGGTTTTGGGGATGGTTTTGTGTCATTAGTTGGTTTGTTGTATCAGGATGCACAGTGTTTGGTGAAGATGGGGGCGGGGTTGAGTCGGCCAATCCCTGTACGGCGAGGGATCAGACAAGGTTGTCCCATCTCCGGCCAGCTGTACAGCTTGGCTATTGAGCCCTTGCTGTGCAGGTTGAGGGACCGGCTCAGCGGGCTTTCTTTGCCCACGGCCTGTAGCATTGAATGTCCCCCTACAATTTCTGCCTATGCTGATGATGTAAACATCTTCATCTCCAATCAGGGGGACGTTCGGTGTCTGCGGGACACCCTGTCCCTGTATGAAAGGGCAACAGCTGCACGGGTGAACTGGGAAAAAAGTGGTGCCTTACTGGTGGGAGAGTGGAGGGACCAGGCAGTGCCCAGTCTGCCGGGTGGACTTGAGTGGGGGAGGGAGGGGTTGAAGGTGTTGGGGGTTTATTTGGGTACCGAGGGCTTTAAAAGTAAAAACTGGGAGGGAGTTAGGGAGAAAGTGTGCGCTCGGTTGTCTAAATGGAAATGGTTGCTACCCCAGTTGTCGTATAGGGGAAGAGTTCTGGTGGTCAATAACTTGGTTGCCTCGACTCTCTGGCACAGACTTGTGGCTTTGACACCTCCAAGAGGGCTGGTGGAGGACATTCAAAGGGCCATCCTGGACTTCTTCTGGTCAGGCAAACACTGGGTCCAGGCGGCAGTCCTCTACCTGCCGGTGGCTGAAGGGGGACATGGACTTATAGACATTCAGTCAAAAATTGCCTCATTCAGACTCCAGACTGCACAGAGACTCCTTTTCACTTGTGGTCCCAGCTGGATGGACATCGCTCGACTGCTGCTGAGGAGAGCTGGACGGCTGGGGTACACTAAGCAGCTCTTTCTGTTAAAGCTTGAGGAGGTGGATCTCACTGGATTAACATCCTTTTATATGTCTGTAATGCAGGCATGGAAAATGTACACATTCAAAAGGGAAAAAACTGAGAGTCTGGGAATGTGGATCTTTGAGGAACCGTTATTTTTTAATGATTTCATAAGGACTCCAACTTTGCAGTCAGCCAGTCTCCGGGCCAGTTTCAGAGAGGCAGGCTGCACAAAACTGGGTCACCTGGTAAGACTGACCCTGGACGCCCTCAAAGAAAGGACCAATATCACCTCCAGCCGGGTGGTTGAAAGAGTGGTGGAGGAAGTCTTTGCTGCACTTCCAGTAAAACTTGTGACATTTCTAAACATTGAGAATCTGTGTGAGCAGTGGAGTGAAGAGGGCGAATACAGCTTCCCATCTTTGTCTGTTACCCCAGATGTCGGGGAGTGGCAGGAAAGAGGAGGTGGACTGCTGTCCTTTAGTACTCCTGTTCTGGGAAAGTTCCAGGATGCAGGGAAAAAGGCACTCTATCAGTCCTGTGTTAAGGTCCTACATCTTCGTGGTCTGTCGGGAGTGAAAGAGTCGAGGTGGATCGAGTTTTTTGGCCCGGAGGTTTCCCCGAAAGGCAGCTGGCGGTCCCTGTACAAGCTGCCTGTTGAGAAGAGAACAGCAGATCTCCAGTGGAGAGTTGTGCATGGGGTTATAGCCACGAACAGATACAGAGCGCACATTGATCCAGGGGTGGGAGAGGAGTGTTTGTTTTGTTCACTAACTGAAACTTTGTCTCATCTGTTTGTTGAGTGTCCCAGGCTCTCACTCTTGTTTGTCCTTATGAAAAGCTTGTTTGAAGCTCTCGGGGAGGATTTCTCTTATGCATTGTTTGTTTTTGGGCCAAAGTATTCTGCAAAGAAAAAGACTGTACATACACTGATGAACTTTTTATCTGGCTCGGCTAAGTTGGCCATTTGGCTTACACGCAAGAACCGAGCTCAGGGTACTGGCTGTGTGGAACCGGTGCTGGTTCTGGAGGGACTTTTGAAGGCCAGACTGAAGGTAGAATTTGCCTATTATCAAATGATGGACAATGTGCAAGACTTTAATAGTGTATGGGCTGTGGAAGAAGCTTTGTGCTCTGTGGGTGGGGATGGAGAGCTGATTATTCATTTTTGATGCAGTAAATGTTGTTTTTGTTGATGTTGTGATTTTTGTTGCACTTGTTTTATTTTTTATTTATTTATTTCCTTCTCTTGATCTGAGTGATGATGTGACAGTGTTATAATTTTCTCCAGGTAGTGGTAAAATAAAAGGTATTTTGAAAACCCAAAACCTCTCCTCCTCTCCTCTCCTCTCCTCTCCTCTCCTCTCCTCTCCTCCTCTCCTCCTCTCCTCTCCTCTCCTCTCCCCTCTCTCTTATTATCCACTGACAGCTCTCTCATCCTCCCTGCTTCTTCCTCTCTTGTTTTCAAACTCCTCACACCTTCTCATCTCTCCTCTCCCCCCCCCTCCCTTCCTCCCCTCCTCAGATCTTAATGTGAAAGTCTTCTTTTTTAAGACAGAGAGCGGCTCCTGCAGTCTCCACATTGCCACGAGATGTTTGGAGAAAATAAAGACTTTTCTTTCTGCTCAGAAGGATTTCTCTGCTCGAGCTGCAGCAGCCAATTAAACCTCCTCGCAAGGTGTGGAGGACGGAGCCCGCTGCAGCCGGCTGACAGCAGAGAAAAACTCAACCAAGAGGAGGAGTACGACGACGGTGATTTAATTAGAGCGGATCAGTCTGAGGTGCACAACAGAGAGGAGAAGATGAACTCATCTCTGATTATTTGATTACTATGACTTTTCTGCAACATTTCAGGGAACGCTGTGCAGAAAGTTAATAACTGTGTTTGCTACTGCTGTTTTTATTTGATACTTTTGTGCTTTAATTTCTTAAAAAATTAAACATGTAGAACGGAAAACTACGCCTGCAGTCTTTGCCCGGGAGAGAAAAGATGTCACCAGTCCGTCCTGCGCTCTTATCTCTCCTCCCTCCTCAGATCTTTACCTGTGTCAGACCACCTTTCTCAGGAGAGAGAAACACTTTGCCTCCTGTTCTTATCTCCTCGTCTCCCTCAATCCGTCTCTCAATCCTCCTGACGCTGCTGTCATCCTCTCCTCTCCTCTCCTCTCCTCTCCTCTCCTCTCCTCTGTCTCCTCTCCTTTGTCTCCTCTCCTCTCCTCTCCTCTCCTCTCACCGCCTTGGGGTTTTCCAACTCTTTTCTTTATCTCTAACTTTATTCCATCAAATCTCCTCTCTCTTCATGCGTTCACTCTATCCCTCTAGCTCTCTCTCCTCATCTTCTATCCCATTAAATCTTTGTATTCCTGTTTTCTCACTCTGTTTCTGCTCACAGTTGTTCCAGCTCATTATCTCACTCAGTCCTGTGCTTTCCAGCGCCACATTTATCCCCCCCCCCCACTTCCCCCCCACTTTCTCGCTGGCTCGCTCAGCATCTCTCTGCTTTCTGTTTCCTCTTGCCTTCTTACTCTCTTCTGACAAGGCCCGAGAGGAGAGCAGCTAAGTCCTGCAATTCCTCAAAGACAAGGAAGTGTACTGCAGGATTGTGTGTGTGTGTGTGTTTGTGTGTGTGTGTGTGTTTGTGTGTGTGTGTGTGTGTTTGTTTTGTCAGATATAAGTAGGGCAGATTGTTAAAGTCCGTTTGAATATAGACGTTAGTAGCATTCTTCTACATGCCGTATATATGATTAAAGCAGATTCTCATTCATTGCATATTATATTAGGAGCAGTGCAGCAAAATGCATCACAACATGACATGCTAACATGCTAAAGTTAGCTTACCGCTCAAGTTAGCATAAAACACCCAATAAACAGAAGCTGTGTGCTATTGGTTAGTGTTGTAGTACTCAATGTCGGTTCCTGGTCTCGAGACTATTTTTATTGGTCTTGTCTCAAACTGGGTGGAGACTTTGGATGTTAAATCTAGACCGGTCAAGACCACCAGTGAACGGCTATCTTTCCTCGTTGTTACTGGGATCATCCCCGGTTACCGTCCTGGTGTTACGGTCTAAGAGAGAGACACGCCCCCTGCACACAAGATGATGATTTTTCAGTGATAATATGGTCTCAGTCTCAATCCCTAAATGTCTTGGTCTTGGAGAACTCTGGTCTCGGGTCTCTCTTGGTCTTGACTACAACACTATTGGTATTTAGCTTAAATCTGCAGTATTTAGATTAGAGACCTTTATTAAAGAGTTAACAACAATTAAAAATGTGCAAATTGTTTCGCAGATAATGTGCAGAAGATTTTATCACAGATAACAACTCAAAAACACAAACTTTGTCCAATGGTGTCATGTTTTTTATCTTTTTTAGGATCAAGCCAAAACCTTCAAGTGAGATGAGATCTGCAAGTTTCAAGTCATTTTGGAGAAAGTTCCATGCAGAGGGAATAGCATGTTAGCATATTTAGCACTTAAGCATAAAGACATCTTTCCATTAACACGTTTTGCGACTAAGACTGGCTACACACTGGAGGATAATGAGCAAATTTTCACATAAATATGCAAAGTCAAGCCATCACTAAGGTCTGAAAATGTTCACCACATATTAAACTAATTGTTTTTGATTCTGGACCAAACTGACTCACTGACTCATAGAGCCGCGAGGAAGAAGAAATATGATGCTTTTTCCAACCAACCTTGACACCAGCAAAGCAGCACAGGTAAATAAATGAGTAACTACATTCATATCACTCAAACCAAGCTTCCTATTCCCGATGCTCCATGGACAATAGTTTCATCAATACTTCAAGGCAAGGAAGCAACATCGCTTTCTTCTTTAAAAAAGTCGACGATACAGCATCCAGACTAACGACATCCAAGTTCAGTAAGAGTGAAAGAACTGAATTCCCCCTCAGGGATAAATAAAGTACAACTTCCTGTTCTTCTCTTTCAGCTGGATGACAGTTTCTGGCCTTGACTAAAGGGATTTAAAAAACTTCAAAGAGCAGAGAAGCTTTCAAAGACATCTCAACATCGACATTGCTCTCTTCCACAAAGATCCCGTGACCAGAGGTCATCAAACGGGGTCGCGTTCCTACCTCTTTTTGGTGGTATTTGATCGCCAGTTTTAGCTTGGCCAGGTCGTGGCACTGCCTGGGGTCCAGCTCCTCGCTCTGGTCGTTGTCTCTGTGGTTCAGGATGGTCTCCAGCTCTCTTGAACTCCTGGCCTGGTCCAGGAGGTCTTTGGCAAATCGCTTGCACTGCTGCGACAGCTCCTCGTACTCCTGTCGGAACTCGTTCTCCACCTGGGACAAGAAAGTAATGCAACGTTTTGAGACAGGTTTGATGGGTCATTAGCCGACTATATCATTACTTTCCAACCTTATGAACTATTGGCTGACTCAAAGCTGCAGAGGCATGATATACCACTTAATGGAACTCAAAAACTAAGACCAACAATGACATAACCATGCGTCTGATGCCTTTCCTGTCGAGTCTTTGCATTTGAGAAGACATTTTTTTACTTTTTAACCACACATCGATGTAACCATAGCAACAGTCGCTCATGATGTCATAAGTGAAGTCAACACTTGAACCAAATGAGTACCATCAGTGATAGAATAGAAGAATCTGCTTGTTGCAAAGAGGTTTTAGGGTGTGACTAAATAAGAGTTCTTATGAGCACTAAGAGACTCTAAGCAAAGGAGGCAGAGGCTGCTCTGATGGTTCCTGATGAACCCGCTTTTCATTTCCGATGTTTCCACTGGTGAGTGATTATATTGTACAAGAGGTCAATGCTTGGAAAACTACAACTTTTCTCGACATAAACTTTTTTCCAAACTATTTCTTCTGCAAGAGGAACAGCACAATTAAAAAAACACAAAATCCAAAGGCATCCCATACCTTGCTGAGCTCTTTGAGTTCCCAGCCCAGTCTGAAGGCCGTGAGGATGGGGTCTTCACTGGACAGCGCGATGAGGGACGGCGAGGCCAGAGCCTTGTAGATGTTGAGTCGAGACCTTGAATGTCGAAGACTGTCGACCTGCAGACGGACGCACAGACAGATAAACCAAAAGAGACTTATCAATACCATATGGTACTATGGAAAAACTTAAAAGAACTCAAAGGATGATGATTTTTTAATAGATTGAATGTGAAACTAGACAAAAACTAGATGTGACAATGGGAGTAAGAACTGTAATTTTAAGCATTTGTATCCACCAATTTTCCATAGAGCCCCTCCCCCACAACTGGTATCCAAAAAAAAGCCGAGCCCTTTTCTTACTAAAGGACATTTGTATAAACTTTCCAGTCAGCGAGTTATTATGATATTAGTTGATGTGTGAAAATCTGATATTGGCGACCTCAGCAAACAGATCGTCGGGGCACCACCTGCAACTTTTGTGCAACCCCCTGAGGGACCCCCGGACCCCCAGCTTGGGAACCACTGATGTAAAGTATTGACCTTCTGCAAAACAAGATCAAAACCATGTATCCTACCAGAGAATGGATCACTTACCTCTGAACTGGACACACACTCAACACAGTCGCATCTTATCTGGTGCGGTCTGGGAATGGTGACCTTTAAAGAAGAGCATCAGATGAGATCGATCAGAAAACAACAACATCCAATAAATGACACACACAGAGTAAGTTGGTCCTTTTTTTTGATAATGTGTTGTGTGTAATGACCTTCCGTGCGACGAGGAGCTTGATGATCTCGTAGTTGTTGGTGTGAGCAGCGAGCATGATGGGAGTTATGTCAGGGGTGAACTCTGAGAACTGACTGTCCATCATGAGGGAGGGAACCTGAAGGGGAACAACAGGGAAAACTCTTATAAATGACTTATCAGGAAATCAGACTCCAAATGTGGAGCCTGTCAGTGCCCATCGAGGCGGGGGAGGGGCGATACTTTCAGAACCAGAGCCGGTCGCTGTTGAGCTTTATATACAGTCATTGGATTATAGAACAGCCTTAATTTTGGGAGTCAGACAGTTGTTGTTGAGAAATATATTAAAAACTTTTATAATCTACAAATTATCCCCACGAAACATTAGGCTCCCGAACACACACACACTGCACTTCAAGACATCAGAGGAAGGAGCAGACGTGAGGAAGAGGAGGGAGGAGTGGAGCGAAACATGTGCGGACTCTTTTATCTCTCCGAGGGAGAACGAGGCGGCGGGCTCTCTCTCGGCCCTTCTCATCTTATCTCGTCTTTGTCCGTCTTTCCCCCAACCCCTCTCCGTCTCCCATCCCCCGTTTCTCCTCCACTCTTACTTTTTCTCTTCTTCATCATCTCTTTCTCCTCATCTGACCTGCCATATTCTTTTTTTTTTTCTTCTACCTGCCTCCTCATCCTCTCGGGTTCCTCTCACTCTCTCTCTCTCTCTCTCTCGCCCGCTCTGCTGCCAAAACCTTTTCTCCTCATCTGATCTCTCATCTTTTTTTTCTCTTCTTCTTCCTGGCGTGATAAGAAGTGTGAGAACAGCTGCCACGGGGCTCTCATCACACTCTGATTTAAAAACACAAGAACATCTCACACTGGTACAGGTAAATATTCTTCAGCACACAGGACCAAATCTCTTTTTTTAATTCAATAGATTTCACCACGTTTCTGAATAATCCTGTTTCATGCGGCTGGACTGTTCAGAAAAACACTCCCACCAGGACTGACCCACATAAGACAAAACAACACCGCCATGTTTGTGTTTGTTTTTTTATTGTGCTGGACTTTAGAGCCGAGGTCTGTTTGAAATGGATCCCCTTCTCTAGAGACGGAGACAACGTGGACCACAGGACAGACTGACCCGGGATAACGAGACCTGGACTGAAACAAAGTCCGCCGGGACAGAACTCAGAAGACCAGATCAACAATTTGGGGGAAATATAGTCATTCACTGTTTGGTTCAGAGTCTGCTTTTCTGGCAAATGGTGCAAGCCAAGAAAAAAAACGCACGTCATCAACTCTTTAAAACTGCTGAATGTGCATTTTAGTCCTTGTTCTTTTTTTTTAAGGTTTATTTTGGGGCTTTTTATGCCTTTATTTGGGCGCACTCACAATAAGCAAAGTTGTCCCGTACCGGTAAAATTCTGTCTGTAGCTGCAGCTTGTTGATAGTTATAGTAACCATGACAACAAAGGTCCGGTAACTTTCCGACTGTAACTGCAGTTGTTGATAGTTACAGTAACCATGACAACAAAGGTCCGGTAACTTTCCGACTGTAACTGCAGTTTGTTGATAGTTACAGTAACCATGACAACAAAGGTCCGGTAGAATTGGGCCTTGAGCTGCAGTTTGTTTAGATAGTTGTAGTAACCATGACAACCAACACCTGAACCTGTTGAAGAGATCCGGTCACGGGCTTGAGACGCTGTGTTCTTTAATATCAGATAAATAATTTTTTCACGACTCAGCACCTGAATAATTGATGCGCGTGTGTTTGCCGACTCTTTTTCTGGAGTCACTGTAACCATGACAACAGAGGTCCGGTAACATTCCGACTCTGACTCCGCAGACAGGTCGGTGTGAATGGATGATAATTCACCTGACTGTCCAGCGGGAGGTTTGAGGTGAAGCCCGTTTAAAGCTTTCTAATGGCGGTGATAACACCTGATAATGGAGCGTTTAATGGACTGTTCACATCTGAAGTAGGAGCAGAAATACACGAACACACACACACACACACACACACACACACACACACACAGATATCAAAACAACCCAAAAATGATCATCGGCCCCATTAACAAACACACACTTGTCTTTTTTCACACTGTTCACACATCAAAGGAAAGTGTGAGATGAAGCTGCATAAAAACCCTCTCCTCATCTGCATATTTCTCTCTCTCTCTCTCTCTCTCTCTCTCTCTCTCTCTGTCTCTCTCTCTCTTATTCCCAAACCTTTTCTCCATTATTCTTCTTGTTTCACTTCATTTCTCTCCCTCTCTCTCTTTTTATCTATCCCTACTCTCCTTCATTCCTGGCTCTAGTGTACCTCTATTTCTCTCAAGCTGCTGATGTAGAAAACTGCTTTGGTCATGGTTACCCAGGAAGTGCGAGAAATGGAGAGAGAGAGAGAGAGAGAAAGAGAGAGAGAGAGAGAGAGAGAGGGAGGGCGGACAGATGAGAAAGAGAGTGAGGGGGGGAGGATGGAGAGAGAGAGAGAGGTAATGAAAGAGAGAGAGGGGGAGTCAGATTGAGTCAGATGGAGAGAAACAGCAGAAAGGTCAACAGTTTTTGCTCGCCAAGAGAAGATAAAAGGCATCGACTGTACCTGTCAGCATGGAAAGAACAGTTTAGAAAACACACACACACACACACACACACACACACACACACACACACACACACACACATCCAGCTCCTAATCTAAGAATCACATGCAAACACACACATGCACAGCGTCTCTAACTAAAGAAATGAAACACTGCACAGTTTCCCTGAAGCTGCTCGGGGGGCGCCAGGCCAGTAGGGGGGGCCTTGAGGGCTGACAAACTTCACACCACAGCAGGGGCTCAAAATGTGCAAATTTAACAACGACAGTAGGAGACCTCCCTAAGGGGCCCCCATCTCAAATTGTCCTGCTAAGCGTAGCGTGCATTGTTGCTTTGAAATCCAAAGTTTGTCAAAGATAAGATGAAATGGAATTATCCGTCAATAGGAGAGAAGAAAAGAAAGAGGAAGAAAAAGGAAGAGGAGTAAGGGTCTGGACCCTGGTGGGGATAATCGCTGGTCGGAGGGGGCCCCAATGAATTTTTGCCTATAGGGCCGAAAGGAGACTCTAGAACCGCCACCAGTTAAAGGGATACTTCCCCCATTAGCATTAATCTTTGCATCATTAGAAACCTGGTAGTATTTTTGAATGGTCGTGCATCCCGCCCTCATTTTCCCCTGAGATGAGAAATCTTTGTGTTTCTGAGTCTGTAAAGGAGCTTCCAGTGACGCTAAATGACGATTTTTGCGTCACTGGAAGCTGTTGCAGTTAGCGGGGTGAAACCACAACGCTAGTTCCTCATATTTTCGACCACTGAAGCTACAGACCAATCACAGATCAGAGGGTGGGAACTCACTCCCAGAATCGAAACTTAACATCCACCATATTGCTTGGAAGCTAAGCTAACAGGCTCTATGGAGAAAGCTGATAATGGCGAAAAAATATAAATATAGCGGCGAGGCGGCTGCTGCCGACAGGCCGGTCTTGTGTTTCGGCTGCTGCGGCCGCTGGCTGCCGGTAGCGCTGCTGCCCGCTAGCCGCCACTGGCCACCGCTAGCTGCTGCTGGCCGCCACGACACAAGACCGGCCACGACACAAGACCGGCCTGTCGGCAGCTAGCTTCTCGCGGCTATATTGCTATATTGATGGCCGCTGCTAGATTTCAGTCTTCAGTAGTTAAAATGTGTTTTATTTTCTGGACTGTTTGTGTTGACTTGTGAGCAGCAGCATGCATGTCTCTGCCTGTACATCTTCATGTACTATTTAGGGAGCCTTTTAGCCAGGGACAACAGATGAAAATGAGCCTTTTGGCTAACTATGGCATATTTACCAAAATGTTTATTAATATGCAATGTCCCTGTAAAAATTAAAAAAAAAATAAAGTTATTAACCACATGTTGTCCTGAGCGCTCGTCTCTGTAAAGGGCCGTGAACTTGTTTGTTTCTTTTCTATTCTCTGACGTAAGTAAAGTCATCAGACTCCAGTGATGATGAAACAGCTGTTTGTGATGTATGAAAGGAGATGAAGACAAAGACACATTTGTAATGACTGATGTTTCTAATTTAAACGACGATAGACTATAGATGCATATATTTACTAAACCTTTGTCGTTCTGTTATCTCTGTTAGAGGAAAAACAATATAAAACGAAAGAAGAAGAAGATGAAAGAAGGACAGAGAGGAAAAGAGGGAAACAGACGACGTCCACGTGAGAGAGAGAGGGAAGAGAATCAGAACGAGAGAAACAGAAACGCTGGAACGACAGATTTATTCACATCCTCGTCCAACTGAGAGGCGACCGAAAAACCTTCCCACAATCCTCTGCTTCGGCCAACGGGTGGTTACCATGGTTACACGGAACCGCACAGCCTCAGACGGTCCAGGAATTAATACGAGAGAAGAAGAAGGAGGAGAAGTCTGTTTATCTTCTCTTATCTTTTTCCTCTTCTTAAGTCTTAAGGTAAATATGTCACCCCAGTCTCTCTCTCTCTCTCTCTCTCTCTTCTTTTTCAGTGTCTCTCGCCCTTTCTTCATCTGCCTTTTGATTTTGAGTGTCTCACTTTCTCTTCCTCTCTCCTCCTTGATCACCATTAACTCCTACACATTAACTGAACTGTGCAACAACATGTTCCTCTACTCTCTCTCTCTCCCTCTCTCACACACACACACACACACACACACACACACACACACACACACACACACATGCAGAAGTGTTGCAGCAGACAAATAAACTGTCTGTCTCTAAATCCTATTTCACAGTGCGTCTCAGCAGAATGCATCATGGAGCATAACAATGAATGGATGTACTACTCATTAACACACACGCACACACGCACGCACGCACGCACGCACGCACGCACATACACACACATACACACACACACACACACTGCTGCATATTAACCGACGAGTAAATTCAAACACGTGCATGCATGAATGCGCCTGGATGCTACACTTTAGCATTCATCCATTAAGGACACATTGTCTTTTGTTTGAACACACACACACACACACACACACACACACACACACACACACACACACACACACACACACACACACACACACACACACACCTGTTTCTCGCCGCTGGGCCTCCTGTGTGACAGCAGCAGCTCCACGGCGCCCACCACCTCCTTCCTGATGGCGTAGAGCAGGGCGTCCCCCGTGTGGATGCCGTGGTCCAGCAGGAGCTCCATGATCTCCAGGTTCTCGTTCTCGATGGCGATGAGGAGCGCGCTGCGGCCCAGCGGGTCCAGACAGTTCACGTCCATGTTGTAGTAGACCTCCGCCTCGCGCAGTGCGTGTTTGACGCCGGCATAGTCACCTGGAGGGGTGGAGGGGTGGAGGGAGGGGGGAGGAGTTATGAGCCTTCCCTAATCATGGACAGAGTGATCTGAATGAGTGGACGTTTTTGGATTTCAGCATCTCTTGGAGGGCGCAGTGACAGGACACCTGTCTGCTGCAGCACCTGTCAGCTGTATCAGTGATCACACCTGTCTGCTGCAGCACCTGTCAGCTGTATCAGTGATTACACCTGTGTGCTGCAGCACCTGTCAGCTGTATCAGTGATTACACCTGTGTGCTGCAGCACCTGTCAGCTGTATCAGTGATTACACCTGTCTGCTGCAGCACCTGTCAGCTGTATCAGTGATTACACCTGTGTGCTGCAGCACCTGTCAGCTGTATCAGTGATTACACCTGTCTGCTGCAGCACCTGTCAGCTGTATCAGTGATTACACCTGTCTGCTGCAGCACCTGTCAGCTGTATCAGTGATTACACCTGTCTGCTGCAGCACCTGTCAGCTCTATCAGTGATTACACCTGTCTGCTGCAGCACCTGTCAGCTGTATCAGTGATTACACCTGTCTGCTGCAGCACCTGTCAGCTGTATCAGTGATTACACCTGTGTGCTGCAGCACCTGTCAGCTGTATCAGTGATTACACCTGTGTGCTGCAGCACCTGTCAGCTGTATCAGTGATTACACCTGTCTGCTGCAGCACCTGTCAGCTGTATCAGTGATTACACCAGTCTGCTGCAGCTCCTGTCAGCTGTATCAGTGATTACACCTGTCTGCTGCAGCACCTGTCAGCTGTATCAGTGATTACACCTGTCTGCTGCAGCACCTGTCAGCTGTATCAGTGATCACACCTGTCTGCTGCAGCACCTGTCAGCTGTATCAGTGATTACACCAGTCTGCTGCAGCACCTGTCAGCTGTATCAGTGATTACACCTGTCTGCTGCAGCACCTGTCAGCTGTATCAGTGATTACACCTGTCTGCTGCAGCACCTGTCAGCTGTATCAGTGATTACACCTGTCTGCTGCAGCACCTGTCAGCCGTATCAGTGATTACACCTGTCTGCTGCAGCACCTGTCAGCTGTATCAGTGATTACACCTGTCTGCTGCAGCACCTGTCAGCTGTATCAGTGATTACACCTGTCTGCTGCAGCACCTGTCAGCTGTATCAGTGATTACACCAGTCTGCTGCAGCACCTGTCAGCTGTATCAGTGATTACACCTGTCTGCTGCAGCACCTGTCAGCTGTATCAGTGATTACACCTGTGAACTGTTGGACACAGCAGAGAGACCGAGCAGCTGCTCCTCTCATTCAGCCATCAGGAAACATGGACTCAGCATCACTCAGAGGGGAGGGGGTCAGAATGGAAACAGTATTTACAGGTTGGGAGGGGGGATGGATGGAAGGAAGGGAGGAAGGATGGAAGGAAGGAAGGAAGAAAGGATAGATGATGGATGGAGGGACAGATTGTTGGATGGATCGATGGAAGGGAGGAAGGAAGGATGATGGAAGGATGGATGGAAGTAAGGAAGGATGGATGGAAGGATGGATGGATGGAAGGAAGGATGGATGGAAGTAAGGAAGGCAGGATGGATGGATGGAAGGATGAATGGAAGTAAGGAAGGATGGATGGAAGGATGGAAGTAAGGAAGGATGGATGGATGGAAGTAAGGAAGGCAGGATGGATGGATGGATGGATGGATGGATGGATGGATGAACTGATGGATGGATGGATGGATGGATGGATGGACAGACGGATGGATGGATGGATGGATGGATGAACTGATGGATGGATGGATGGATGGATGGATGGACAGACGGATGGATGGATGGATGGATGGATGAACTGATGGATGGATGGATGGATGGATGGATGGACAGACGGATGGATGGATGGATGGATGGATGAACTGATGGATGGATGGATGGATGGATGGATGGATGGACAGATGGATGGATGGATGGATGGATGGATGGACAGATGGATGGATGGATGGATGGATGGATGGATGGATGGATGGACAGTAGGTGTGTGTTTACCTTTCTCCACAGCGGTCAGGTAGGCTCTCTCCTCTGCAGACAGCTCCACCTCCGCTCGGACGATCTGAAGAGGGATGCGATCACGGTACGGCGAGTACGTCGCCTGAAACACAACACAGACAAATACACACAAATAGAAAAACGGTTAAAAAGGGAAGTCTGTAAAAATTTAAAAAACACGACTAGGTGTCGCTAAACCAGTTTGTTTTGGTTTCATGCTAGCGCTGAAGGAAGACATCTACTGGCTCGAAAAGTCGCAAATTCTTCCTTTAAATTTGGTAAATCAGGTTAGTCAGCAGAGGTACACAAGGTAGAAATGTCCACATATTTTATTAGCAACTTCTTCTTCATTAGATAGATAATTGTTTTGAAATCGGAGAGAAGTTGTTGTCCCTCCTTGAGTCATTGGTCCAGCTTACTGAAAAATGTAAATATATGATTTTTACTGTTCGATTCAGGGCTTAAAAAGTCGTATAAATCAGATAAATCAACTGTTAAATGTCTCTGTCACATCTACAGTCTGTTGTAAAATCAATTCAAAACCTGACAGCAGTGTTGGATATGATGTATCATTCATCATCATCATCCCGTTAGCTGAACTAGATTCATAAAACAAACGAGACTGGGCTCTGTAAACATACATTTAGTGTTGTAGTCATGATGAAGTGTACAGTGAATAACACCAGTGATGGAGCATCACACACTCTCGATGATTTCATTACTCCAAACTGTGAACTACAGGAGGAAGATGAATCGTCTGACAGGTCTGATTTTGGTCGAGTGGCTTTCGTTTTTCTAATCTATGAATCTTTGTGTGGACAGAGCCATTTTTTTAAATCCTCTAGAGTCTGTAAGCGCCTGCAGGGATTCATTGTAAGACACCAAACATTGCTCTCCCAAAATCCATGTGTGTGTTTGACTCACCTTCTTGTAGTACAACTGTGTCATGGGATTCATCTCGCCCGTCTGGAAGAAACAAAGACAGAAGGAGTGTTACTACAGCGGACCAGGAAGAAGAATGTCAACAGTTCTGCACAAGCAAAAGTAGTGGAGAAAGAAAAAACTCACATTAAATACAGAGAGAGATCCAATTAAAAACACAACAAAAGAAGCTAGTCATCAAAGAAACTCGCTCTGTAAGTCAAGACAATAAAATGACTAAATTTACGTCTTCATTTTTACTAAGTGTGGCAAATAGTTCCTCTAAAAACGGCTCATACTTTGTTTTTTTTGAAAGGACACGTGCTAAAAAGTATTTTTCTTGTAGAAATGGTAGCAGCAGAAATGTTCAATCACAGAGAATCTTGAATAACCATCTTGCCGTTGGATGCCACCGAGTTTTGATCCATCAGTGTTTCCAACAGAAGAAGAGCGGCCTCATTTGTACACTTGCTCTGACTCAAAAAATGGCAAAGGCCAACAGACAGTTCATACAAGTTGATATTTCACACTGGAATCATTAACAGGAGGGACAAACTCCAGTAGACTGCTCTGTCTCTTGCTCTGTCTCTCTGCAGAAAACCCTTACCCTTACGAGAATGGGTTCTACATGTGTTTGCAGTGACCTTTGTCTACCAAATTGGAACCATTTCATCCTTACATAGAGGTGGATGTTTGTGCCAAATCTGAAGAAATTCTCTTCAGGGGTTCCTGAGTTATTGGGATTACAATTATGGGAAAGAGCATGGACCGGAGAGATGGATTCAATTCAATTCAATTCAATTCAAAAAACTTTATTTGTCCCCGGGGGGCAATTCAAAGGCACACAGAGCAGTAAATTAACAACAGTGCAAGTAAACAAAACATTTTTACCTAAATAGAAAGTGTCAATTTAAATACAATTTAAAGCTTAAACTTAACTTAAAAATACAAAATATAAAAGAGTAAATATAAGTGGACAGTGATCGGACCAACAGATGTAAACAGATGTAACCAGAACTATGTGCAGTAGTGACCAGATGTAAACAGAACTATGTGCAGTAAACGAGAAATAATAACGAGCTATGTGCAAGTAGGCAAATACTAAATGATAAGTTAATAAGGTGCATGGTGAATAATGGAACAACAGAACTAATATATACAATATAACTGTAAAGGTAAAAATGAGAGAGGGGGGGTTGGACAGCCCTGGGAACAAAGGTTGCTCTTCTCCTCTGCATCCTGCAGCAGGGACAGCGAAGCCGGCGTCCTGAGGGGAGCCACTCAAACGCTGGGAAGAGAGCGTGTGATGGGTCCTGCATAATCCGACCTGCTAGCCTGATTGTCTGTTGCTCATAGATCGATGTCAAAGTCCTTACAGGTAGTCCAATGATCTTAGAGCAGACTGTGACCGTGCTCTGCAGGCGGTTTCTGTTCTGGAGGGTGGTGGAGTGGAACCAGCAGGTTATAGCAGGTTATAGGTTAGGTCGATGTACCAGAAATATAATGCCTACGTGCGTTATGTCGCCAGGTTACACCAGGTCATTTTGGAGTGAACAGTCCTTAAAGATGCATACATTTTAGCTCGACAAACAACATGTGCATCACCTTGTGCATGTAGAAATAAATGCCAGAGAGTACATAGACTGTAGTTACATTGAAACAGTAAAAGACCTAAAAAAGCAAACATCTCTCAACTACAGTTGGGTAAAAAAAACATCTGGTTCACCTAACTCTATCTGACACTTGAAGTCTTGCAGAAAAGCAAGAGAGGCAGCAAACATCAGAGGTACAGGGATCACTTAAGCAGACATAAACCTGAATGTGAACTGACACAGTGAGAGACAGTGATGGACGGGCGGACAGTCGAAGCACAGCAGATTAGCGCCTCTCCATACATTTAGCTCACAGACCAGGGTAAGACTCATCCGGCAGAATTAGAGGCTCGAGCCGTGTTAAAACATGTAATCCCCATGAACTGCTGCCTCCTGGAGAACCTGCACACTCAAGTTTTTCACACAGTTAGTGTTTGACTTGCTTGTGTTTGTGATGTACGTTTCTTTGGATAGAAGCGTCTGCTAAATGAATTGTAGATTTGTAGTCGATAAAAAATAGAAATGAAGAACACAATCTGCACAGGTGGTCATGGCAAGCAAAGCTCTTGTTGATGAATGCAAAGACAAAAATGCTCAGGACATTTAGCACACATTCTGCTTGAGACTTTGCTAGAAAAATTAAGTATCCAGGTTTGAATCCAACAGCCTGCGGTCAACCTTTGTATTACATTTGTATATTGTATTGAAGAACTAGTCAACAGACAAACACAAACCAAGAGATACACATAGATGAGCATAAACATTTGTTCAATGAGATATAATTCCAAGGTTTGTCAGAAACCAAGATCAAAAAACCAAGGACCCCACAAATCTTTACTGTATTTATTATGTTTCTGTTTTTTCTGCGACTAATCTCTCATCTAAATACTTGAGTCAAAGAGATATATTCAGAAGTCACACTTCGTTTCTTCCAAAGAGCGAAGTGAGTTTCCTGCCACTTTGCTGCAGTCAAAGAGCTTTAATGAAGCTTAAAGGAAAAAATAAATCGTCAGCGCTGACTCACGGCCCTCGGCTCAAGCGAAGCGAAGTCCCAGTCAAGACCCCGAGACCTTTTCAAAATCCTCGCAAACACACGGCAGCGAAACACAAACTGTGGCTCCTCATCCCGAAAGAAAAAAGTTCTGAGTCCTGACATCTGACCAGTACCTGTCTTGCAGAGACCCGCCGTGGTCAGAAAGCGTATGCTCGTTGGTCTGAGATTGATGCAAATCTCTTGCTCCACTGACATTGTCGTCTCTGCTCAAAGTCTTGTGTTTGTGAGAAAAGAAAGAAGACATATCTGCTGTCAGAGGGCCCTTTATCAACAGCTGACAGATAAATTGATGCCTGCAGACACCAGCGTTATCAAGTGGACGGAAAATACTGACTGGAAGATTCAGTTTTCATGATGCCTTGAAGTAGAAATGTCAAACAGGGTTACTGCTCCACTGACAGTCCCAAAACCTGACAGTGTGAGTACTTAAACTCTGTGTACTCTGAGTAATTTATTCCAGTAATAATGAGGCTGATTAAACTCGATTATCCACAGAGGAGAAGGCAAGAGGAAACACGGCGACCCTGGTGTTTTGTACGCGTCTGACCTTTTTTGTAATGAGCTGCAGTTTTCCAATTTTGATTTAGCGCATTTATTTGCAGTAAATGAGTTCATGTCCAGTGTGACCTTTAGTGACCACAACAGGACTGCAGTCTGCTGTAGAGCGCTCAGCTGGGTCTAACTGAACAAGACAAGACTGAACAAAAACTGAGGCTGACCTCTGGGTTTCTAAGAGTACTTAACCAGGTGTTGACTGAACCGTTAAATCTAAAGAGGCGACATCTGAAGCTGTACCTGGGTGTTGAACAACACATGTAGGTAGTCTACGTCTTAAACTGAAATAACTAGGGCTGTCAAATGGTTAATATGCGTATCCAGTATATGTAATCCCTGAGTTTCAATAATTAATCGTGATTAATCATATGTTTGAAATTTCATTATTTTGCATTTAAAAAAGTTTTTTTTTGTAAAGCTTTTATTTTGAAATGTTCTTCTCTCCTAAGACTGCGTGGACTTTTCTTCCTGTTTTACAAAACTAAACAAAAACTCTCTAAATGGTTGGAGAAATAAATGAAAAATTAAGCTGTCCGATAAAACGTCCAATTAAACCTTCATTTACTTTGAAACAAAATAAGGAACTTCCAGTAGATCGGCGGGTATGCGATTAATTAAATTAAAAACACTTCAAATTTTAATTTGGGACTTTCATTAATCTCGATTAACACGTTAAAGCTGACAGCCCCAATGGGATGATGGAGGTTGTGCTTTATTTTTATTTTGAACATCATAGACCGTTTAAAAAAATGGACGTAACCCTTTGGTTTCTGAAGCAATGTTATGAAGACAAACAGTGGCGCTCGCCATATTGGAAATGATCTCAAACTAACTTTTAGTCAATCTACAAACAGTCAGAGGCTCCTGTCAAACAGCTCCAGCTTTGGCCAATAAAAGAATGATCTGTTTAGAACCAGGCTGTAAACATATTATATTATGTTATACCCGTATGCAGACGATACTCTATTTTACGTGACTAAGGTGAAAATATTTTTTCCGGAAAGACAAAATCTTTTAACATTTTTCTTTACATACAGTTCAATCATGTACATTTACATGTGACATTTTAGTGTAACCACAAAACCCTTAGCAAGGCGGACTCTGCTAACATCTATCTGGTAACATCTTGCTTTTCCCATTTTCCTTAAAAAACGTAATACTTATTGACACATTTCATCAACTTAAATAGCATTTTCTGTTTGTTTGGATAGTCATGTCCATATGTTCCATTTCCTTAGTCTTACAGGCTGTTTAGTGTAAAACACTTTCTTCTTTTTAAAATGTTCATCAGTACATCAAAAAACATTTTCCTGCCCCTTTTTTTTACAGAGTGGTAGCTGGTAATTCAAAACACCCTCAAATATCCAAAAGAAGAACTGTTCTCTTGCACCATTCTGAACACTTCCCGTTTACAACTGGATGATGAAACCAAACTGAAACTTTATTAACCCTCCTAGACACTGCAGAGCTCGTAGTGCCCCTTTGCAAATTGAGTTGGAGCCAATAGAAGGAAACTCCAATATATCAGGGGAGGGTG